TAGCTTAAATATCCAATAGGTCTCTTGTTGTATTAAAATTTTAAATCTATCTCCCCCTCTTTTTGTAGGTGGAATAGTTTAAATCCCTTTAACCCTTAGAGCTTTTGGATCACTGTTATCTTTCTCCAGAAAATGTAGCATGGTTTATTCACTTCTTCCTAATCGATCGTACATGTTCATATATTCTTGTTATTAGCTTTCTGCATGTTCTGTCTACATACTGTTTACCACATGTGCATTCCAGTAGATAAATGACATAGGTAGTATTGCAGTTTATAAATTGTTGGATTTCAGATTCCTTATTTTCACCATTATGGTTGGAGGAGAAGAACTTATTGTATTTTTGTCTAAAAAGTGGACATGTGATGCAGTTTTTCCTTTCGCATCTGAATACACCTTTTACACCCAAATGACCTATTTTGTTTTCGATTTTATTATTCTTACCCAAGCTTGAGACAATTTTGTTCAATTTTGTTCTCTATTTGTTGTCCAAAATACCCATACATTTATCTTGGGTGATAATGCACCAATGCTTCCACATGATCTTCTTGATATCTTCACAAAGATGGGGAGTGTTCTATCCTTATTTTTCTGGAAAACAGCACCCCTCTTCTCCCTTGTTGTTGAGATGAGTTCCTCTCTAGTCATGTTGTGGACTTCTTGTTGAACCTTTCTCAGAAGTTGGGGAATGTAGTGTTTTTGTATGAATCTGTTTGTGAGGTTCTGAAATTCCTCTTCCAGGTCCTAAGGTCTACTATTATTTCTATTTACCCTCATGTATTGGCTCTTCTGAATATTTTTAATCCATCCTGGTTGATGGGCACTCATGGCATCCAGAAAACCATTCTTATCAACTTCTTTTTGGTGGTTGCTAGTTTGGAGGGTCCTGTTCATCTATAAAAAAATGTAATTATAGTAATGTAATGTTGGTTTTGCTGGCCACATGGGTGAACCTAGGGTTCATGTTGTTGGCATTGACATGGTTTATGTATCTGAGGAGTTCTGCTTCTTCTCCCTTCCATATAAGTATGTAATGTGAACCTTTTATAAAAACATATACTGTCAAGGAATAGATTATTTTTTCAAATAAACTTTCTCTCCCACCATCCCATCGTTAAGTTTGCATATGAGGGTGCTAGTTTCATCCGCATTGCAGTCCCAGTGGTTTGGAGGTAAATGGAATTTTTGAACAGAAAGAAATTATGTTCTAAAACAAAAAAATACAGTCCAGTATAAAGCATTTTGTTGTTCCTCCTTGAATTCATTAAATAGATGTATAAAGTATTTCACTGCTTCTCTACCAATGTGGTGGGAAATACTATATATAAAGAGGTGACATCCAGACTAACGAGAAAGCAGTCTGCTGTCCATTCTATGTTGGAGATGAGTTGGAGCATATGAGTCATGTCTTTTAAATAAGAATTCAGATGTGTAACCATATGTTGTAGGAAGAAATCGATATAAGCGGACATGTTACTGGTTCATGATGCCATTCCACATATAATGGGAAGGCCCGCAGGGTTCTTTTGATCTTTGTGAATTTTGGGCAGATGGTAGAAGATTGCTGTTACTGGATGTTCTTGGTATAGAAAATATAACTGCTCTTGACTCAGGACTCCTCTTTTTTTTTTTGCTTCCATTAGTAATGAAAGCAGATCATTCTTATATTATTGGGTTGGATCTTTTTCCAATTTTCTATAGGTGGTGGTGTCTTCCAGTAGTCTGTGTGCCTCTTTCTTATAGTCTTTCATATTCTGTATGACTATAGCTCATCCTTTGTCTGCTTCTCTGATTTGGATTGTTATGTTGTTTCTTAGAGCAATCAGGGCTTTCTTCTCCTTATGTTTGAGGTTAGATTTCAGTATTTTATGTTGTTGTTGGGTATATAGTTGTTAAGCTCAAAGACTGCCTATATGAGAATCATGTTTTTTTCCCCTTTCTTTCTTATATATAATCCAAGCGCCATTGATTATCGCAATCAATTTTAGATTGGTATTCCGATATTTGACATGATGATATAGTCAGTAAAAATGCAGGTTTTTTTTTGCATTTTTCACACACAAATGGTACTTTCACTGATGATATAATTGTTTTGATACATTTTACTATTTGGAAATGCTAATATTTGTGTTCAGCGAAGTCTCCCGAGTATAACAGTATCCCCCATGTACAGGTTTTATGGTGTTTTCAAAAGTTACTGAGTCAAATTTAGGGCTTGAATTTTCTTTTTTTCCCATTGAAATTTGCCCGATTGGTTATGTTGCCTTTCAGACCATATGGTAGCCCAGGAATAAGAATTACCCCCATAATGGCATACCATTTGCAAAAGTAGACAACCCAAGATATTGCAAATGGGGTATATCCAGTCTTTTTTAGTAGCCACTTAGTCACAAACACTGGCCAAAATATGCATTCAATTTAGTTTTTTGCAGTTTTCAAACACAAACTAATATCAACGCTAACTTTGGCCAGTGTTTGTGACTAAGTGGCTACTAGAAAAGACTGGACATACCCCATTTGTAATACCTTGGGATGTCTATGTTTGCAAATGGTATGCCATCATGGGGGTCATTTTCATTCATTGGTTACATCTCAAAGGCAAAATAACCAGTCTGGCAAATTTCAATTTGTTTAAACTGAAAAATGTAATGTGCTATATTTGACCCTGTAACTTTCCAAAAGACCATAAAAACTGTACATTGGGGGTACTGTTTTACCCATGAGAAATTGTCAAATACAAATATGTGTACCTTATTGCAGGAAGAGCTAACAGTATTGTGACATTTACAGTTAAAATGCCATGCAGAACTGAAAAAAATAAACATTTTTCTTAATTTCTAATTTTTTAAATATTTTATTCATATTAAGTTATGTGTAATATACAAATATTTGATGTGACATGAAAGCCCTGTTTCTCCTAAACAAAATTATATGTGATAAGTGTGGGTACACGTAATATGAAAGAGGTGAATTATGCCTGAACAGTCATATAGCGCAAATTCAAGGTTTTGTTTACGTTTTGTTTTGATCACAACTTGTACAATTGGCTCAGTCCTTAAGGGGTTAAATAACAAGTGATACATCTACTCAATGGCTTTATATTTCAAGAAATTGAGATAGCCACAGACTCACATATAAGACACAACTAAATTATATTTGAATAGAGAAAAAGAAAATCAAGAGTTAAATAGAGATTTCAGTATTTGAAAAGAGATTTGTATTCAGTGGTTCTATGTACATATACAGTTGAATTAAAACTTTCTTTCACTACTAGGTTATTGAAAAATTACATAAAACAATTTAAATCAGCTATTCAATTTAACTGAATACTTTTATATATTTGAAAATAATGGGTTCTACAAGTTGCATAAAGCATGAACAAACTTTACTTTAATTAGACATTTCACAACTTTTTTGCCTGAATTAGGTAAAATACATAAGAATACCTGTCTTGAATAAATATTTCTCTATATTCTTTGTGTATCCCAGGTAGAAATTTACACTGTTTTAGTCGGGGGTCTTTGTCATTATTTGAAGTGCTACCTAAATTGAAATGGTTAGAAAAATGTTATTACAATGATTTCCCTAGTGAAAAATACTCTTCCCTTTAGTGCAGCAAACATTGCTTATTCAAGGTTACTCAGGTAAATCCACGCTACTTCAAAATCATAACATTCCAGAATATTTAAGAATGCTACAGGATATTTCAGTATACTCTAGTCTAGCAGATCTCCCAATTGTCCTGCTTCCAGGGGCCATTTGTAGCAACTTCTAGTTAGTAAATATGCATGGCAGGTAGAGAGACATAAGTGAGGTTTAAAACCTCCCTTATAGTAATATGAGGGTCTTATTGACTCCCATAGGCCTTTTATTTATTTATTTACTTTGTGGTGGCTGGCTAGAGTGTGCTGACCCGCCACCACATAATTCATCCTGGCATAGCCAAGATTTGTTTGTTTTTAAAACTATTTTAACCATTTGCCTGCTGACTTCTAGCAGGCAAATAATACTTCAAATTATCATTCACTTGCAAAAAAATAGTAAATGATAATTTGCAGATGTGCATCATGATGGATACACTCAGCCCTGACTTTTATTAAAAGTGGTGCTTTGTGAATCTTCAGAATCCTGTACAAGAAGCAGTGCTGTGTACAATTTTAATCCAGGCACCACATTTGATTGCTGGAGATTTGCTTAGGCTGGCCAAAATTCTAAACACATTTGGCTTTAGTAAATATGAGACTTGCCAATGTGGTCAGAATTCGGTCATACTCATCAGACTTTGTCCATCTGGACACAAGCTAGTGTTTAGTGAATAACCCAGTATATAAGGCTATGTGTGATAATATAACACATATATTCATGTTTTAAAATTATAATTTTTTAGGAAGTTATTCTTGACGATTGTTTACAATATTAATACATGTGTTATACCATCATAACATGTATTGCAGAATATTTGTAGTGTCCAGACCAATACAAAATATGCTGCCTGTACAATGCTTTGGAAAGGTTATTAGCTAACTAATCCTAACTGGATATGTTCAGCTCCTATGATATCCATCCTCTATTAGTTGCACTGGCTTCCTGTACAATAGCAAGAATACTACTAAATTATACTTAAAAAAAACACTGAATGAACTCAGAGTTCTCTATATTTTATTTGATGTTCAGATTCCCCACCATATATCATATAAATATTATATTTAACCATATAACTTGTGGCACTACCACTCCTACACAGTCAAAGAACCCGCTTGTTTGGAAGCATAGATAAACAAACTCAAGACTATCTCCTATCTCAAACTTTTTTTTTTATATATATTCTTTATTTTTCACGTGCAAATGGTAACAAATATGCTTGAACCGCCACAATATCTGTGTCAAGCGCAATACTAACATACAACTTAGGTCAGCAATATGGCTTCTTATGTATACTGCACATTTTATATTTAGGAAACGTTGGTACTGAGGGTTTTCAACTAGTGGTGGCACATATGTTATGATGTGATCAAGCGTGGGTCTTGTAGTGGGTATTGAGTTGGCTGGACTGTGATAGTTGTGTTCAGCGTGCCTCTAGTGTGGGTCATATCTAGGTGCCCATGGCAAATGTGACATTCCATGTGTCGGTTGTGCGAGATACTCTTGGGTGTTGTGCGCAGAATGCAAGTGAACAGGGGTCTGGTGGCTTGTGGCCTGCTATGTGAGGTAAGAATCCCTGTAACCCGGGGAAGAAGGATGTGAGGAAGGGAGATTGGATGGACTCTTAATGATCTTAACCCTGTCAGGTAGCTGAGTGGTTGCAAGTATTGCTGGTTCAGCGGGGCTGTTTGGTGCGTGTTCATCTCGGACATGTGTGACTAAGTGTGCCCCCTGTTTTGGTCCCGTGTTTAAAGGAAGATAAAAGTATAAAACAAAAAGACTGCCCCCATAACCCTCATACACACTGCCCCCATAACCCACATACACACTGCCCCCATAACCCACATACACACTGCCCCCATAACCCTCATACACACTGCCCCATAACCCTCATACACACTGCCCCCATAACTCCCATACACACTGCCCCCATAACCCACATACACACTGCCCCCATAACCCCCATACACTGCCCCCCATAACCCACATACACACTGCCCCCATAACCCCCATACACACTGCCCCATAACCCCCCCACACACTGCCCCCATAACCCACATACACTGCCCCATAACCCCCATACACACTGCCCCACCAAACAAACTGCCCCACATGCCCCCATACACACTGTCCCCATAGCCCCCCATACACACTGCCCCCACAGCCCCGCATACACACTTCTCCACATACACACAGTGCTCCCCATACAAACACTGCACCCCACATACACACAGTGCTCCCCATAAAAACACTGCCCCCCACACACACACTTCTCCCCATACACACAGTGCACCCCACATACACACAGTGCTCCCCATACAAACACTGCCCCCCCACACACACACACAGTGCTCTCCATACAAACACTGCACCCCAAATACACACAGTGCTGCCCATACAAACACTGCACCCTCCACACACACACACTTCTCCACATAGACACAGTGCTCCCCATACAAACAATGCACCCCACACACACACACTTCTCCCCATACAAACACTGCACCCCACATACACAAAGTGCTCCCCATACAAACACTGCACATACTGCACCCCCACACACACACAGTGCTCCCCCACACAAACAGTACACCCTCACACACTTCTCCCCCCACACACACTACACCCCCATACACATCTACCCCATACACACACACACACACTGCACCCACATACACACACTTCCCCAACTGCACTCCCATAAACACACTGCCACCACTACACCTTCATACACACACTGGCCCATACACACAGTGCTTCCACTGCACCTCACATATACACACTGCACTCCCATGCACACACTACACCCCTCACACAAACACACAGTGCGCCCACTGCACCCCTCTACACACACTGGCCCACATGCACTGCCTCCCGTACACACACTCTGCACCCCTCACACACTGTCTCCCATACCCACCCTGCATCCTTCACACACTCAGTGCCTCCCATACACACACACACATACACACACACACTGCCTACTCTCACACACACACACTACTAGAGGCTCTATCCCCTACTACAGCCCCTATTCTGGCAGACCCCAAGTAAATTGTCAAACTGTTTTTAAACCGTTTGACTATTTACTCTGGGAGGGCGCCACGGCACTCCTGGCACCATAACCTCTACAGAGAGCTGTAGTGGTTACTGTGCCTGGATTGTTTCTTTAAATAATCTATGAGTGCCCCTCCCGAGATGAGACTCTGGATCCGCCAGTGGGTCTTACCTGCTCCCCATGAGATGAAGAGGATAGTCTTCGCCGGGTCCCATCGCAGTGCGGCTGTTGTTGTTGTTCCTGGCTCAGTGATGGGTGGCAGCCCCTCCAGTGGCAGGCACCAGCAGGCACAGCAGGGCTGTTGCTTCTCGGATGTCTGAGAAGGAGTAGACCTGGTCAGCATGCTGCGCCACTACAATGTTTCCCCTGACACATCTGCATAGAAGGATAGGCTCATAGATTCGAAGCTGTAGGTAGCGGATCTTTTCAGGGCTGCTAGGAGCGCCATCTTGTCAGTTGAGCTTCTGAATGTCACCACCAGGTCTCGGGGGGCTGCCTCCAGGGCTCTCCGGGGTTTCGGGATTCAGAAGGCTGCCTCTAGGTTGATGTTTCTGGCTTGTTTAGGTGTCAGTAGAGCTCCTGTGAGCCACCTTAAGAGGTGAGGGATTTCTTCTTCTGGGATATCTTCCGGGATTCCGCAGATCTTTAAGTTTTTGCGACGCATAGCGTCTTCCATTGCTTCAAAGAGTTGTTCAGTCTTGGCTTGCTGTTGTTTAAGAGCTTGTATTTCATGCCTTAGTTCCGCGATGTCTTGTGTGTGCCGTGTGGTAGTGGCTTTGACCACGTTGATGCGGCTTACTAGGCCTGTGAGGTCTGAGCGTAGCTGTGCTACATCTGCCTGCAGGGTTTCTGTAAGTCGCCCAGTAATGTCTTCAGTAGCGTCGCCGTTACCGGTTCCGTGACCGCTGGGCTCGGTGCCGGTTGTTGGGGTCTCGCTGGAGGTAGGCTGTCAGTGGTCTCATCTGGGTAAAAATACCCCGAGGAATCAGAGAAGCCCTCGTGGTCAGCGGCCATTTTGGGCCCATATACCCCTTGTGCTTGGAATAAATCCCGTATGCTGGCCCTCTGCTTGGGTCTGTCTGGTTTTTGCCGTTTTGTCTTCCTTCCCATTGCAGGTCTGGGTCGTCTGGGTATGTTTGTCAGCCGTTAGGTATCCGAAAAACGTTAGTTTGTACTGGGTCTCCACGGAGCCCATCCACCCTGCGTCTGCTCGGCTCGGCTGTCATACTCCGCCCCCTATCTCAAACTTTTAAATAAAACTTACTTTGTGAAAGTTTTAATTTTTTTTTTTTTTAAATGACACAAGACATAGATTTCTTTTTGTATCATAATTTTTGTTGGACTCATCATTTGAATATTTATTTTTACTTAGTTTTAACAGTGAATCCACCCTAAATACGATTCTGTTCATCAGTAGAAAGAAAAACAAATCAAATGCATTTTAGATTACATTTCTATTTTATGTTAAAGTAAATATAAAATATGATTGTTAAAGATCTGAATGACACTGTACTTGCTTTGCATATTAGAAATACTACATTCATAGATTTACATTTACCAGTGATGAAGGTTATAGTGCTGACTGAGAATTTCGACAGAGAACGTAAACTTTGCTAACTGTCAGTGTGACACATAGCTATCTACATATGAAATTCTTATTTCTTTCACCTCCTATAGCACTTTTATTAGTAGGGAATATTGAGACAGTTTTAATTCAAAGCATACTATATTAACTTTCCAACATAGATACCCGGTGTTAGTTGGATATCATTTTTAATTGTCAGGTGGAAGACATGATTTACTTTTATTTTATTCACATGGTGTACATTTTAATTTAACGTAGTACATGTATTGTATTTTTGCAGAGAATATTGTAATTGTGAATTTAAAACGGCACTGTCTTGCCGAACTTACTTTCCCCAATCGATTCCTCTTCTCTCCCTCTCTCGGGATCTGTTATTTATTTCGCTATGTGACCTAGTTTTCTTTAAAACACAAGACAATGTAGGGACTACTTTGTCTTATGTATTTTTCCTACACTTGACCAGCTCAAGTGGTCAGAGAAATTTTCCCACAATACTCATCCATTCCTCCATGATCTCGCAATGCCTCCATTCACTATTCAAGAACGTCCTGTCATTTAGACAGGACGCCGGCGAAACTACTGAATTTCACCCTAACAGAATGAGAACAGTTTGTTCATTCATGTTAGGACGACATTTAAGTAGGTTCGAAATTTCATTCAAATGAATGAAATTCCGATTTGTGTTGCAGTTGCATCTTTGTAGCAACTTAGTAGATAGTTCCCTAATTCTCATGGTATTGGTCTTTCAGCCAATTTTACTAATAGGTGGGGGCCAGTGGAGGGCAATAGATCGCCACCATTATCATTTAGGATCCTCACCTGTCGCCCATAGGTTGGGGCTGGGGGGAGGACAATAGGTTGAATGAATGAATGGATGAAATTCCAGTATTTAACAGCTCATTTACATTTAGCCCCCACCTGCCACTCATGGGTGGCGACCAGGGGGGTCAATTGATCCCCCCATTGTCTTTTAGAGCCCCCACCCACCGCTCATGGGTGGCACCCAGGCAAGGATTTTTGCCGCCCTAGGCAAAAAAATTATTTGCCACTCCACCATATTGTGACATCACAATGTCCTACCCATATCATTCACCCATGTCATAACATAATATATGCCCCCATCCCTGAGTGCCTGTCTCTACAGCAGTCTGACCGGCTGGTTCTTTGCTGGGTCTGCCTGGGCAACTCTTTTGCCCAAACTACAGTAAAGATGTCACGTGCTATGTAGGCACTTAGATAAATATCGCAGCGGATCAGTATTATGCACTGGAACGTACTTCACAGAAGAGAAGTTCCTATGTAATATCAGCTCCATGTTCCAGTAATACCGAACCAGGTATTGCATTAATATGATGTTTTGAAAATTTTTAGCAATACGTTGTTAAATATAAGTGTGTATATTTATAAGAGCTTTATTGTTAAATCAACTTATATTTTCTAAAGCTCTTTGTGGGTAAAGGTGTTCTATTGATATTGCATAAATGTGTATTATTGGAAGAGAGATAATGTGCAATTGAGGTGCTGCATTGCAAATGTGTTTATTGCTGAAAAGAATATTGCAATATTGTTGAAACAAGTTGTACTTATTGTTGAAAAAAAGATGTTGCAATATTGTTACATGTTGCAAAAAAATACTAATGTTTAATGTTAGTTTGCAACATTGTTCAGAAAACAAAATTATGTATCCGCATATAAAATGAAAGGTGCAGGACCATAGATATGCACATAATTTCTCTTATTGTGTTTCAGTGAGTTTCGTATCTCCAAAACAGTCTATATTTCAAAATGAGACAACCAAACAAAAGTGACACTTAATTAACATGAGTGAATGTGATTATAATGCAGAGTTAAAAGCTGAGAACAGAGAAAAAGTATTTTTTTTGTTTTTTTTTTCATGTTCATTTTTCATTCTCCCCATACAACAATTAAAGAAATAAGACATTAGGAATGAAATAGGACCTTTGGTATGTATTAAATATATACTTTATAGAGATAATTGGCGACATCCTAAATAGAATTATTATGATAAATAGAATTCGGGCTATTTTCGTCTCTAGCCA